AGCGATCCATTTCTTGGAAAATCGAGAATGTCTCGGGAAACGTAAACAACTTATTCTACTAAAAACATATATAGATAAATCGAACGGTACGCAAAGCGTTTAAAGTGATTTGCATTAATATCATAACATATAATAAAAAATGTGTGATATCTCAAAAAGTAACTAGCTTTTTCAAATTTCAATGTACCATATCTTCAGGGTGATTCAAGAAATATCATTTTAACGTTTCAAAAAACCCCTCATTTTCTAAATTGCATGGTTAATCATTACAAAAATGTTTTTTCTTTTTTTTAAGAATCAGGAGTGCCAAATGCAATTTTCTGGCCGATTCCATTTATTTGTTGATGTGGCACACATAATACACCAGTAGAAACGAATCGGTTGTGAAGCGCATTGATGCCAAATACCCACATATAAAGCTAAAGAAAAAGTTCGGATTAGCTGGAGACAAGATTGTACAAACTAGGCTGGGCTACCTATCACTAAGGGTGTTCCAATGTGAATTCATTTACAAATGGACCAAACTCAATTCAGTCCGAATCCAGTGCAAATCAAATCTAATCCAGTCCATTAAAATATAAATAGACTAAATTGGGTCCAACCCAATTCAAACCGAATGAAATATCAAAATTTTTTATATAATCTAACAACCATGCGAGTAAAATTTCAAATTAAAATTACAAAAATCTGAAACATTAAAATCAAGGATTTTAAAACCAGATGGGATAGAGAACCGATTTGGGGATCTAGTTCTCAAGTCAAATGGTCTGGCCGTCTGGTCCAAATAGACAACCCGCTCTAACAAAAAATTAAAAATTTTAAGAAAACCGAAAAAACAGCCAAAATCGTTCTTGGGTCAAACAGTTCAACTGCCTGGGTCAGTGGTTCATTGACCAAATAAAGAGTTTTTGTCCAAATAACGGTTTTGGGGTAAAATGGAGATTGGTTTCTGGTTTTTCGGTCCAATCATCTGGTCCGATTTCCAGTCAAACGGTCTGGCCATCTGATCTGAATGGGCGACCCGCTCTAACAAAAAAATAAAAAATAAAAATTTAAAAAACGGCAAAAAGCCATTCCTAGGTCGAATGGTTCAATTGCTCGGGTCAGCAGTTTGTTAACAAAATCAATGATTTTTGGTCAAATAGCGGTTTTGGGGTAAAACAAAACTGGTCAGGTGACCGATTCCCAATTATTCCAATTTGACCATCGGGTCCGGTCCGGTTTTGAAAACATTGATTAAAATCAAAGATTTTTCACAATTTTTTTTTTAAATTTGTTCATTTTATAGATTAATCTTTTTCAGGATAGACTATTAATCTTCTTGATCTCAGAAAGCTCTTTTTTGCAAAATTTCCCCCACATATGCGAAGGTTCTTGTTTTCGGTTCTATTGTAAAGATTTGAATTAAGTCCAACTCAAACCGATAAGAGTGGATGAATTTATTTAAATTTAGTCTAACCCAATTTCTATACTGGGCTGTTCAAATCCAATTTGATTAGTTCTAGTTTGGATTGAATCCAACCCAAAAACCAGGAGTTTAAATCAGCCGCCCACAACGTTCCACAGCACATCCCTGCCTTGTATTGGAAACTTCTCCTGATGATGATATCATTATTTCTAATATTATCATCGGAAGATGTTCTCAATAAGATATGCCGTGGGACGTTGTGGGGGCAATCTTGTAGGGAGCTGATTTGATCTCCAAAACCGGTTAATCGACACCCCTACCTATCACGAGTGACTACCCCAGTATTCACTGTAGATTCCATCTGGGCCCATCTGTACTGAACACCGGTGTGTTCACTCGTGACAGTTAGCCCAGCCCGGTGTGTACACTCTTGTGTCCAGTTCATCCAGACGCCCAAAGAAAGGCCCGTCTATTGTCCTTAGCCCACATAATAGTCAATAAAAGCCCAATAGGCCAATAGCCGACTAATTTGCCACATCATCTTGAAAACTTTAATGAGAATTAACGGCAGTTGCTGCTCAGTTTGTTAGTTCAACCGATTCTCTTTGAGCCACCAGTCTCCACCATTTTGCAGCACCGAACCACCAGGCCCATTGCCGATCTGTACTATATTGCTATCTATCTATTTTATGATTGAGATTGACATTGACAACCAAACTACGATTCCTGCGCATCTATATTATTGCCTGGGTGGATCTTGATAAAAGCTAACAACCTGCATCAACACCCATCACCGCCTGTGTCTGTTGACACCCATCGACACTCTCAGGATCGGTATCCATGTGTTTAATGGAACTGGTTTTGGTTGGGGGTTGCAATGACAAAGAGAATGGAAGAAAAGAGAAAAAAGAGGAAGAGGAGAGAGAAACAATGGGTGACAAAGTTCGCTGTTCTTGGTGTTTGGTGTTGAAAAGGACAAAAGAAAAAGAGTTCCATTTTGTTTCTCTTTCTCCAACTCTGGTAAAATTAATCAAAATTGATTCCTCTCTCCTCCTCACTTGAATTGATTGTCCCATGGTTGGGCAGTCGGAGCCATCAGACCTATTGACCCGAGAACGTGTTATGGCTCCAGGTCGAGTTCAGATCTGCACCCTACAATGTCCTACAACACATCCCCGCTGTGTATTGAAAATATCATTCTAATACTATCATCCGGAAATGTTATCAATACACGGGGGGTGTATTGTGGAACATTGTAGGGCACAAATGTAAATTCCTCCAGGTCTGATTTTGGACTTTAATGCCGTTTGATCGGGTTTTGGACTGGACGATCAAATCATTTGACCTAAAAACCGGTGGCCAAAGTCCCAAACTAACAACCTGCATCGACATCCGCCTTTAATTGCTTATTTTAAATTACCAATAAGAGCCCTTATCATTGGAATTGTGGCGAAAAATTTATTGGAAGGTCCGAATGAGTGGGTCCAAGTGTCCAACAACACTCCGGATATGTTACCAACAAAATGTTTCTACATCATATCATATCATAAAAATGTGAAATTCGGATTTGTAAAACTTACACTGTCCTCACAACCCTTCTAATAGTAATAAAGTATGAAAATGTTTCCAATGCACACATGCAAAGGCCGTAAAGACATAATGGATTTTGTGAGGATGAAATCCATACTCACAAATGTGATCCAGTGTCGTCAGATTTGGAGCTGGATCGGACTGTAGGAAGATCAGATTTTTCAAACCAGGAGCGGCGGCCAAAACAGTTTTTAGGCCCTTAGAAACATTTACACTCGGGAAATACATGTTTTAACAGTGTTACAAGTTGCATAATATTTATTGAGTTGAGATTATTTTGATGCAAAATAGCTTTAACAGATAACTTGGCATTTCTTTTCTTTTCTTTTTTTGTTTTTTTTATTTGAGCGGGTCAGACGGTTTAAAGGGAGAACCAATCGGTTGAATCTCTCAACCTGACCCAATGACCAAAAACGGTTTTATTTGCATAGCGAGCCTGACAACATTGATATGGTCAATAGACCAGGCGCGCGAGAACCATTGTGAATGTAGCCGCGTCACTAGCCACACTACTTAAAGTGAAGCAGTAGCATGCGAGTTCAGCTTCAGTTGGTGCAAGTTCGTGTAGAGGTGTATAAATCGGGCCGTGCTGCCCACGGCTCAGCATGACCATGCGGGCCGTGCTGGGCTTGGGGTTTTAGGTCCATGAACCGGCATGGCATAGTACAATCGAGCAGGCTGAGAACCATTGTGAATGTAGCCGCATCACTAGCCACACTACTTAAAGTGAAGCAGTAGCATGCGAGTTCAGCTTCAATTGGTGCAAGTTCGTGTAGAGGTATAAATTGGGTCGTGCTGCTAGCGGCCCGGCACGACCATGCGGGCCGTGTTGGGCTTGGGGTTTTAGGTCCATGAGCCGGCATGGCATAGCACAACCGAGCATGCCGAGAACCATTGTGAATGTAGCCGCGTCACTAGCCACACTACTTAAAGTGAAGCAGTAGCATGCGAGTTCAGCTTCAGTTGGTGCAAATTCGTGTAGAGGTATAAATCGGGCCGTGCTGGGCTTGGGGTTTTAGGTCCATGAGTCGGCATGGCATAGCACAACCGAGCAGGCCGTGCCGTCTATGGCCCGTAGGCCGACACAACCCATCCTGCAACCCGGCCCAGCACGGCCCATATATATATTTTACATATATTTATATATATATTTTATATAAAATTATAATTATATAATAATATATTAATAAAATAAATATATATTTTTTTTAATTTTATTATACTAATTTATTTAATTATTACATATATAAGCAATTTTATACACAAAATTCATATAAAATTAAAATTTTAATTTTTTTGTTGATTTTTTTTAAATAAATAGCTTTGGCCCGACCTAACCCAAGGCTCGGCCCATGGCATAGCATGGGCCCAGACCATGAGCCGTACTGGGCCAACACCCAAAATTTTCACTGGAGAAGACAGCACGGCCCACACCTTGCACGGGCTGCCCATGGGCTGGCACAGCCCACTTTACACCTCTAAATTCGTGCTCACACCGAACAACCTCTTGCAACCTTGCATTTGCCTTGAAATCCAATTCAGATCTCCTGCCCACATGAATCCTACCCACGCCTACCCACAAGATATTATAGCTATACATTGGGAACATCTCCCCGTGAATGATAACATGCAAACATGGAAGATGTTTTCAACGTACAGCTGTAATGAGTGGGTAGACGTAGATAGGGTTCTTGTGGGTAGAAAATCTTAACTCATTGAAATAAAACGCAAAATAGGGAGATATTCCCAATGTAAGACTGTTGGAACTGAAGCCAAACTCATAGCATGCGGGTGCAGATCTGCTGACCACAAGCATGCGGATATAACACCACAGCGGCACATGCACATTGGGAACATCTCACCATGATGACAGTTAGGATGTTGTGTACACAAGTTCAGTGATCAGGAGATGCGGGATCGTAGAATGATGTGCTAAGAGCCCAAGACACAAGTAATAACTTGTAAGACCTTATGAGAAGCAAGAAGATTTGGAAAAGAAGAATAGGCTTTAAAGCTTGAAACTTAAAACAAAATTAATATTCGAATCAGAAAATTAATGTAAACAGTACAAACCAATAGAGAGGTTTAGACGAGCGAATTCCATTGAAAATTGCATATCCATGTAGTACGTGTTTGCCAATTGCCACACCCTCACAAATCCAACAGGTTTGAATTTAAACCTCGGCAGGTCATCCTATGCGACTGTCCAGACCCCGTACTGCATTATTTTCACATTTAAACAATGATGAAGATGGCATTCCAGGAAGAACAAAAGCAAAAGAGAAAACTTAGGGGGTGTTGGACAATATGGTTGGTTTTGTAACTTTAGTTTTTTAAAACAAAAGTAATTGCCAACATCAGCTGACGTGGCAGTTGTTTTTGTTTTCAAAAACAAAACCAACCATGTTGTCAAACACCCCCTTGACTTGCAATTTGCATTTGGTCAAATTCAAATTGAATGTAATGTTTTTTCTTTTTTCTTTTTTTGAAGCCGAATGTAATGTGTTTACACCAACTTTTCTAACACAAATATAATGTGTTATTTTCATGTAATCCAAGGTTATTCAGGTCTTTCAAATGCCCTAACAAGGATTACTCAATCAATTAGAAATGGGATTTAAGAGATGCTACTTTACCTCAGTAGGTCAATGGAGAGTCCTATAACTTTAGGATGGCATGGGGGAGGTTGGGGGTTTTAAGTCCTCATACCTGTGCATTGGCAAAGAGAAAATAAGATTTGGAAATTGAATGATTCAAATCTTCTGATGGAAATAAATCGGAATGGCTTAAATGAGAATATTCTAGAATGATTGAAATCCTCAGGTTGAAACATACAGGTCACAAGCTTGAAAGAAGTATGCATTTGCATGTAGGAAGACACGATTTCCCATTAAAAGTTCAATGTGGAATTCACAAAAAAAAGAGAATATTATAGCTTACATAGTGAAAGGAGAAAGTGGCCTTGATTTTGGCCTGTCAGAATGCTCTTTGACTCCCGGATTATCAGATGGTACAGGTTGAGCTTCATCGTTGCTAGACTTGGAAGGCATCAGAGCTCCACCATCTGTAGTAGACGTTGAGAGGATAGATACAGTAGGTACACTAGGAGATGGTGAAGTAGGTGGCTTCAAGTCATCATACCTAAAAAAAGTAGTATTCAGTAACTAGAAAAAAATAATGATATCAATCGAAAAATTGTTGCAAAGGATGTTCACAATTAACATCTCTTGAGGCCTACAAAGTGTTTTAGAAAGAAAAGCGCTCAGTTCCACTCAAATACCAACCAGGTAAAAATGACCTATTTGGTCCTGTTTTTGTCCTGTTCATTCTAAGAGACAGAAAACGAAAAATTGTGGTAAAACTAGAGAAAGATGCATGCTATTATAAATCAATGAAAGATAATTCCTCCAAAAGCAGTAGTTGCCTTTTCTTGGATATTGAAGTTGTTTGTCCAATTATTGAGAGGGTAATAGTAAGCCTTAATTGTACTATGATCCATAGATCATCAGTTCACATATAATATTGACCTTTTTATGTTTTTCTAGATAGGGAACATTTATAGAAGAAATTAGTAAAAGGATATGTACAACTAGGTTGAAATATGTAGTAATACTGAAAATAAATATAATTATAGCATATTTGAAGTAGCAACAAGAGGAAGATTAAGATTAGGTCAAGTCAACTATTTCAAGATTAAGATGGTAGTCTTACACATAGTATGGTGAAAGGTTACTTGGTTTCTGAGTTGGAACTTGAGGAAACTCCCTTTCAACTATTTCAGTAAGTGTTCTCTCTGCTACATAACTACCAGCGGGAGATGGTGATTCAGCCTTGACTGGTGGCACGGATTTAACCAGTTTTTCTTGAGAACCACTTGGTGTGGGGGCTGGAGATGTAGGTGGTTTCAAATTCTCATAACTGTAAAAACAATCTCAGCTCATAAAGAAATCATCCCATCCCCGTGACTTTATAATAGGCAGGCATTAGATTAACTTGGCTTACACAACATAAGGTGAAAGATGCCCTGCTTTCTGCACTTCATCTTTAGCCAAATCTGTATCAGCATCAGCAGTTATTGGACGTGGTATGCTGATGCCAACATCTGCTGCATCAGGCTTTGACTCTGCTTGCTTGACATTTATATGTACTTTGGGACCACCAGATGGAGTTGGAGTAGGAGATGTTGGTGGCCTTAGATCATCATAACTGAGGAATATAATCAAATAGTAAAAATGAAAGTAAATTAAATTGATACTATGATCCTTGATGTCAATTATGTCAATTATGTGGGCTTACACAATATAGGGAGAGAGAGGCCTTGCTTTCTTCATTTCTGTTTGGATAGATTCCTTTTCAGCAACCGTGCTTGTGGATTCTGACAAGTTAGTTTGAATATCTGAAACGATGGACTTCAATTCTTCCTCTACAGAACCTGTATCTCTTGCTTGAGAAGTTCCAGGAACATTGCTTGGAGTTGGAGTAGGAGATGTTGGTGGTTTTAAATCTTCATATCTGCAGAGTAAAAAAAAAAAAAGAGGGAAAATGCACAATTAGCCCATAGAGTTCTTTCTGAATGGGCTATTAGTTATGAGAGAGACTATTAGTTAAATCTTCATGTCCTATACTTATGAGAGAGACCATTAGTTAAGCAAAATTACACAATATATGGAGAGAGTGGTCTTGTTGTCTCCACTGTCATTTGGGCAGGTTCTTTCTCAATGGTATCACTCTTAGCTTCAGATATGGGTGAAAGATCAGGTAACTTTGAACGTTGCAGTTCCTGATAAGACAGGAGAAGTGATAATGTATGAAATCATCTTTTCCTTATAACTAATATACTAAGCAAAGCATAATGCACTTATTAGAATAGCACCTTTGTTGATCTTTCATCTTACAGCCGTTTTACTTGCCATGTATATTTCTGTAAGCATGTATTCAATGGCATCTAATGCAATATACAAACTGATAATTGAATCTTAGAAAAAGAAAAGATTGAAAATATAAGTAAATAAACAACCTTAGTTAAAAAGGTGTAGAGATACCGCTAATTATTTTGTGGTCTCACTACTTGTTGCTTATTTGTTACTGTTTTATTATTATTTGTTATTGTTTCTCTCTTTTATATAGGTGGAATGGGTATTCATGTCTTTGTACCTCTTCTATTGATTAATATAAGGCCCCGTTTGTTTTTCAGGAAGTTACTTACCCGGGTGCCCAGGTCAGTGCATTTACCCATGTTCTTTTATTTCCCAGGTAGATAAGACAATGACTGTTTTAGCCATAAAAAGCCATTATTAAAAGGGGCAATTTTGTCCTATCCAAGTGTTGGCAACTTTCCCCCCAGGTGGGAAAGTAAGTTACCCACCTAGGAGATGGGTATTACTTACTTGGGTAAGAGTAAGTAATACCCAGGGAAAATAAATTTTCCATAGACCCCACATAAATCTGAAAAAAGAGCATGAGTATCTTGGTCAATGGGAACTAAAATCACATTGACCAACTTTCACCCCTCTCAAAATCCAAAAAAAAAAGAACGGGCCCTATATAGCAATTCGTTGGGGCAGCAGTACCATTAGAATCTGCACATCTTTTTATTCATTCTCTCTGTCTTTTCTCTTCTTCTTCTTCTTCTTCTTCTTCTTCTTCTTCTTCCTTTATCTCCCTCTTTCTTTTCTCTCTTCTGCTGTTTTTCTTGCAAAACACAGGTCTGATTACCATTGGTTACAGCCAACTTGGTATGAGAGCAAGGTTTAGGATCAATTTGGATTCTCATTTGGACTTCATCCAGCCAGCTACATGAGAATTCTCTAGGGCTGGAGTTTACAGATTTCACCGCCTGATTCTTGGAGGTCATTGGAAATTATAGGAGGTGCCCAAGGTGTGAAATCTTGGAGATTGCCCAGTGACTAGGAAGAGTCAGAGAAAACAGGTCACTTTGAGGTTTAGGGTTTAAACCATTGATTGAAGGTGGCACTCAGGTTTTTCTAGGTAGATTTCACATTGTTCTTGAGATCAACAGTTATTAGAATTGTTTTAGAATGCTCTAGAGAGAGCAGTTATCAGTTTTATACTTTCTCCAGGGCTGATTCTAGGGTTTTCTCTGAGAGTTCTTCTCTTGGAGGGGCTAGTTTGTGTGGAAAGGAGTGGGAATGAATCCAAATCACACGTAGGCAATTGGGAATGAATCCAAATCACATGGGAAAGGAATTGTGGGGACTAGAAGTGTTGTTGACAACAATTCTTTTCAGATTACTGCAGTAAAATTTGATGGAACAAATTATTTGGAGTGTGCTCAATCGACCATGATGGCTATGATGAAGAGGAAAGCTAGGATATGTGATAGGAGACACTAAGAAACCAACAAAGGAAGACCTGTCACATGCTAAGTGGGTTTAAGAAAACTACCTTGTTAGAACTTGGTTGTGCAATTCCACGCAGTCTCATATTAGCAAAAACTACCTTTGTACAAAGATTGCTAAGGAGATTTGGGATAATATGAAGGGGACCTATTCTCAGCCCTTTAATGTTGCTAGAGCCTATAAGTTGAAAAGTGAGATGAACAATCTTAAACAGGGGGAGGAACCTATATCAGCTTACTTCTCCACCCTGAAAACCTTATGACGTGAGTTAATCACTTGAAGACAATTGAGTGGGAGAGCCAAAATGATGCAATGACGTAAGCTTGTTGAAACGAAAAGGGTGATTGAATTCCTAAATGGATTGAATTCAAACTATGACATTGTGAGACAACAACTCCTTATTAAAGATAAGTATCACCTTGTCTCAGGCCTACTCACTAGTACATAGTGAGGAAATTAAGAGGAAGGTTATGTTGTAGATTCCAACTATGGATCAGCTTTAGTAGATATAAATAATGAAGAAAAGAGTTTGTGACTATTGCAAAAAATCAAAACACACCAAGAACACTTGTTGGAAGCTTCATCCTCATTTTATTCTAGCAAGGATCAAGAATAAGAAAGGGAATGCCAATGCAGTTGCTATTAAAGAGCTTCCATCCACGAGAAAAACTAGATCTAGTTCCCTAGATTCCTTGGCTGTAGTCAGAGCTTCCTTTAATCAGCTGGAGAGTGATGTTGACATTACCGGATAGTCTCAAACAGCTGTTGTACCTTCTACTTCTACCTCAGCATTCTCAGCTTTTGCACACTCAGATACAGGCCTGCCTCATGCCTCAGCCCCAAGTAACATCAGCCTTTTTTGGATTGTAGATTCGAGTGCCTTTGATCATATGAACAGTCTGTCTTTATTCACCTCTTATTGCTTGTCCTTTGGCAAAGACAAAGTATCCATTGTTGATGGCTGTCTTATTCTTATTTTTGTCAAGGGAGACGTTAGAGTGTCTAATGCCATTTTGTTGTCCTCAGTCCTGAATGTTCCTAAGGTCAATACTAAATTACTAATTTGCTTTCAGTTAGTAGTATCACTAAAAATTATAATTGTTCAGTGACATTTTTTCCTGATTATTGTGTCTTTTAGGATCTGGCGACAAGGAAGGTGAATGGGACTGGCTGTGAGATGAATGTAATCTACTTGCTTGAACATCCACCTGGGAGGAATAAAGAAGTTGGGAGGTTTTTTGTTTCTCAATCAGTAAGTTAGATTATGCTTTTTCATAATCAGTTGAGTCATTTATCTTTTGGGTCTTTGAAGAGTCTCTTTCTTACTTTGTTTGAGTCAGTCCAAGAGTCCACTTTGAGATGTGAAAGTTGTAAACTTGCAAAGCATTGTTGATCAACTTATCCATTAAGCACTAAAAGAAGCATTATTCCTTTTGAAATTATGCATACCGATGTTTGGGGACCATATCATATTATTGTTATGGGGGGATATAGATATTTCTTATTATTTGTTGATGAGTATTCTCGTTTCTCATGGGTTTATCTTATGCACTCTCAAGATGAGATCCCTATTCTAATCTGTTCTTTTCACCAAATGGTTTTAATTTAGTCACTTGGTTTGGAATTAGAACAAAACATTATATATAATGCCAAAGAGTATTTTACAAAACCCTTGGCCTCATATCTTCTTGAGTATGTCCATTAGAGTACCTGTCCCCATATACCTTAGCAAAATGGAGTAGTTGAGAGAAAGAACAAACACATCTTAGAAGTTGCTAGGAGCATCATGCTGAATTCTAATGTCTAGGAGGATGCCATCCACTTAGTTGTTTATCTCATCAACAGGGTTCCTTCATAGGTTTTATATATGAAAGCTCCTTTTAATTTGTTATATCTAGACAAGGACTTGTTCACTATTCACCGTAAGACTTTTGGGTACACTTGTTGTTCAAATCCTTGGGCCTCATCGTTAGTCAAGTGTTTTTTTTTTCGTTTTTTTGGGTATGCACAAAATCAAAAGGGGTATTGTTGTTATGGTCCTATCTCTAGGACTGGTTTTGTGTCTATGGATGTTAGATTTTTGAGGATGTCCCTTATTATCCTAGGGCTTCAGCTCAAGGGGATAGTGGTAAAAAGGGTGTTTTTGCCTCAGAAGTCTCATTGCCTATTCCAGTTACTGAAGGGGAGTGTGTTGAGGGGAACTGTCAAAAGTGCAAAGAACTGAGGATGTTTCATAGGCAGTGGAGGCAAGTTGATTTCGGTCATGAACAGTCTAGGCCAGTTCCAGTCTCCTCTATGGCACTAGATCCAGGTACTATAGCTTCTTTACCCACTACTACCACAAATGACATATCTATTGCCACTAAGCCTCAACCTACCTCAAAATGATCTTGATCTTCCTATTGCAATTAGAAGAAAAATAACCTTTTAAAAAGAAAGGACTGTTTAGAAAGTTGCGAAAATTCAAAAGAAAGTAACAGAAATCAGATTTCAAGAGGAGAGAAGAAGAAGAAGAAGAAGGTGGCGGCAACTAGGGTTCGAAGAGAGAGACTTTCAAACATTAACCTTCTCTCTTACACCCCTAATTCCATTTCATCAAGTTAAACTTTAATAATTTACAGAGAGGCCCCTAATGGGCAGAAAATTAAGAAACATAACACAAGAAAGAATAAGGCCCAAATTAAGGCCCATTACAGTAGAGAACATAAAAAATAAAGAAGGATAAGCAACCTATGGGCCATTTGGCCCATCTTCTCTACACTCCCCCTCAAGCTGAGCATAGATGCCAATCATGCCAAGCTTTCCAGTATCATGCTGAAGTTTAGCCGTGGGAATGCCCTTGGTGAGGAAATCAGCTAACTGTCCTTAAGAGGTGATGAAAGGTAGACACACTTCTCCAGAAGCCACTCTTTCTCGAATGAAGTGTCTGTCAACTTCAATATGTTTTGTTCTGTCACGTTGCACTGGGTTGTGAGCAATGTTGATGGCGGCCTGATTATCACAGTATAACATCATTGGCTTATCATGCTCAATACCCAGTTCCTCCATCAAGGATCTAAGCCACAGTAGTTCAGAAACTCCATGAGCCATGGCTCTGTATTCTGCTTCGGTTGAAGATCGAGCAACAATTGATTGTTTCTTGCTTCTCCAAGAGACAATATTACCTGTCACCAAGCTATAGTACCCAAAGGTAGATCTTTTGTCATCAATGTTTCCGGCCCAATCAGCATCTATGTAGGCTTCAAGTTTCATATGGCCATGCTTAGCAAATAGAATCTCCTTTCCAGGGGAGCCTTTCAAATAACACAGAATCCGCTCTGTTATTTCCATGTGAGTATCCCTGGGAGCACGCAGGAACTGACTGATGCAACTGACAACATATGCAATGTCTGGCCAAGTCATGCATAGATAAAGAAGTTTT